AATATATAACAGGAAACACAGAACAATTTACAAAGACACAGACCTGACACTGAGGCAGACTGAAAGAATATAACACAGGGAACCCAAAGACGACAGAGACTAAAAGAAGAATTAACATCAAACTAAACTTATAACCAGAACCAAACTGAAACCTAGAATAATAATAAGCAAAAAAGCATATCTTGAGAATCATAACATTACGGAGCCCCGCAAGGGACATGGGAGAAAAAAAATTAAGACGGACTTTTGCGAGATCTCGCAAAACAAACTCGGGATCTCGCAAAAGTGAAAACATTTCGGAGACCGCCTGCTCGAAGCCGACCGGGAGTTCGAAGCACGATGTGCCGGGAGAGCGGTGTTCCCCCCGGCTGTAGTAGGTCTCAACCTCCCGTTAGCTTCGAGATGGTGGGTGTCAGACATCTCCAAAAACGTCGGAGCACTTTTGCAAATATGTGATGTCTTGTAAACCGAGCAGATATTTGACGTTTAAACAGCTACATTCACACCTCAAAATATCTTAAAAGTTTATTTTGTGACCCAGAAAGAGTAATAGTACAACTACGTAGCTGCCGCCATTGTTGGAATTCAACTTTTGTAAAACTTTTGTGAGATCCCAAGTTAGTTTTGCGAGATCTCGCAAAAGTTCATCGTAATTTTTTTTCTCCCATGTCCCTTGCAGGTCTAGATTATGATTTAGAACATAAATATAATCTAGAACAGGGGTCTGCAACCCTAGGCACGCGTGCAACAGTTGGCACGCGAAGGGTTAACTGATGGCACGACCATAGCTGGACTGGCCATCGTGCATTTGCTGGGTGGCCAGATGATTTTTTTAAATTTTTTATTGTAACGGTATAAACAATGAAAGGTGGTGGATTGGCCAGATGCTGGCCGGTGTGTAAAAAATAACTCAGTTGTTTGGTGGTGGCTGTGGTGGAGCTTCCACAGATTCAGTAACATTAGCAAGTGGTGGAAGCCAACAGGTGGATGAGGGAAAGGGGAGGCAGGAGGAGGAGAGACCCAAGGTGGCCGCTGGTCCGAGTTTGAACTGAACTTCAGGTAAGAAGTTATGACCTGCAGTCTGTCTGGGTCAGATATAAACCAAGTTTAGGTGGAGTTTATTTTCGTTGTGCTGACTTTCTACAGTCAGTTACAATAACTCGTACTGCATACTAGCTAGCATGATGGATTTTCTATACAGCTGGGTGGGTGCTATGATGTTACTGATAGTGAACTTTATTTTATTTATAAGGTTAGTTAGTAGAGTTGCCAACTGTCCCGTAAAAAGACGGAATCCTCCCGCATTCAGAGAAAATATTTGTGTTTCGTGTTGAGCTGAGAAGGGATGCAGTTTGTGTGGTTTTTTTTACATTCTAGCTGAAGTATGGGACAAAGCTGGAGTTATTCTGTGTCGTTACGCTGCACAGCTGCCTCATTCTTTCCCCCTTCCTCAACTGTTGCTACTTTAATCATGAAACTGATCAATGATCAGCTGATCGGCTTTTCTCTCTTGTTT